GGGATCGAGCCCTGCATCGGGCTCCCTGCTCTGCAGGAAGCCTGCTTCTCCCTCTCCCACTCCCCCTGCTTGTGTTCCCTCTCTCGCTGTGTCTCTCTGTCAAATAAATAAATAAAATCTTTTAAAAAACAAAACAAAACTGGATTTTCTGAAAATTTCCTTTTTGGCTTACATCAGAATCAGCTTCTCTGGTTTGCTACCAAGAACCATGATTGGTGAATAATTTTCCCCACAGCAGAAATACTCTTACAATCAGTGCCAAAAGACATTTGGCACCCCCATCGCTGTCAGCACCCGCACATGTTCAAATTCAGCCACGGAGACATGAATCTCTTCCTCCAAGGACCACCCAGGTTGAGTGGTGGGCCTCGACAGTATCCGTATTTAAACTTTCACTTAAATTTGGGTTTCTAATAGTTATCTTAAATGTCTTTTTAAAAGATGTCACTCCAATGCTTCATTGAAATAAAAAAGTTAGTGCGAACAGAGCTGCCAGATATGTTTACTATAAGTGAGGTCATTACTCATCTCTGGAGGAATGGCCACATGTCTATATTTTCTTGTTTTAAAGTAACTAGGAGAACTTAAAGTTTAAGAACTACAGGTAGATATAACTGTGTTGTTTGTCATTGAGCAGGTGTAAGGAATTATTTGTTACACATTAGGGAGTATAATCAAAGGTAAAAAAAATCACCAAGTGTCTTAGGAGAAAGCAAAGAATTACCACAGCTGGGAGAGGTTGGTGTGCTCATTTTTTTTCATACACAGTTGTTGTTGTTATTAGTATTTTACCATTTTAACCATTTTTTAAAAAGATTTATTTATTTTAGAGGGGGAGGAGGGACAGAGGGAGAGGGAGAGAATCTGGAGCAGACTCCCCACTGAGCACCAAAGCCGACGTGGGGCTCAATCTCGCAACCCTGAGATCAAGACCTGAGCCAAAATCAAGAGTTGGATGCTTAACCGACTAGCTACCCAGGTGCCCCCCACTTTAACCATTTTTAAAGTGTACAATTTATTGGCATTAAGCACATTCACATTGTTGTGCAATCACCATCTGTCCACAGAACTCTTCATCTTCCCAAACTGAAACTAAGTACTCATTAAACATTAACTTCCCATTCCTCCCTCCCCCAGCCCTGACAACCACCATTCTATTTTGTCTTTATGAATTTGACTACTCTAGGTACCTCATGTTACTGGAATCATACAGTATTTGTCTTTTTGTGACTGGCTTATTTCATTTAACACAATGCCCTCAAAATCCATCCGTGTTGTAGAATTTGTCAGAATTTCCTTCATTTTTAAGGCTGAACAGGTCTGCTCAATTCTTATATCTTCATGATATAAGATAGGCACCCAAGTAGTTATCTACCAAAAAGTTCCAGCTGATTTTAAAGAAATGATTTAATTTAATGATGTTAGTCTGTCTGCTGAAAGAAAACAGTGACTCAGAAGGACCTACAGATCACTGATTCTCAAAGTAAGGCCTTGGACTCAAATAAGGTGCTTGCCAAAGGTTAGACTTGCAGATCCCGCCCTAGAAGCACAGAATCAGAATCCCTGAGGCTGGGCTTGGTGGTCTGCATTTTTTAAACCTCCCAGATAATTGGCGATGCCCAGTGGTATAAAGACCACTACTCTAGACTGAACACCAAAGCATGGGATGGCACAGATAGATCTACATTACTATTGGTCTAAACACATCTAAAGTAGCTTCTTTTTATTCTAAAAAGTTACCAATAGATGGTTAGATGGTGCATCAAAGAACTGAGGAAACAAGGAATTTAACTCTGCTTTCATTTGAAGATGGACTTTGAAATTTATGAAAGTTCCCCTATCTTTGCTGATGCTGGACCTTAGCCCTGGCGAGCCCTTCCCCTTTGGGGTAGGACCGAGAAATCTAGCCTAAATCCTCATCATTCTTCAAAATACCTGGACCTTGATTCAGTTCCACGTTACTTAACTTCCTTAAGCCCCAATTTTCTCCTCTGCAAAATCGAGCTATTGAGTGATTACATGAGAAAATACTCTTAATGTGCTCAATATAAAGACTTAGTAAACTTTCAATAAATATAAACTTTCATTATTATTTCTATCTCCCAGGCTCCAACCCCTGCTGTATGTGGACTCAATCACTCCCACTTTTGAGCCCCCCAAGCCCTTTAATTATACTTTACACAGTGTATTATAATCAGGTGGATGTACGGGTCTCCGTCATTGGATCATAAATTCTTTAACTGCAGGGACAATGTCTTGCACAAGAGATGGTTAATAGTATGGGCTTTGCCTTGGACTTTTATAAGAGATGTTCTTTTTTCAAGGCTTTTTTTTTTTTTTAAGATTTTATTTATTTATTTGAGACAGAGAGAATGAGAGAGAGAGAGCACATGAGAGGGGGGAGGGTCAGAGG